GAAGAAGATCCTAGTTTTAAGAAAATCGACCCCAAGGTAAGAGATTGTTGACCCCTCACTCCGAGAACTGATGACAAATTATACTAGACCTTTAATTCTTCATTCGCTTTCTCTACCTCTGTCTGTCATAAGTATTCCTGCTTTGGTAAGTTTGTGACTGACCATGTACGTTAGTGAAGTTCATGTAAGTGAGGGGAGAAAAGGGTAGGTGGGGGTGGAGGGGGGGACGACAGTTCAACCCTGCTTGAATGCTAATTAGCTGCTGGGCATAAAGCTCCAGGGAGGCATCTTAAATAAAGACATCTCAGACCACAAGACCAGTGTGAATACTAGAAAATTCAACAGCCGTGGTAGCTCAACCCCTTTTTTATTTTTTTTATGCAAAACCAATATAACATAGCAGCCTAGATTCTACCTTCTTGATTTAACAGTGCTTCTGTTTTCCATTATTCTATACCAGATTTTACAGTGCACACTATTATTTGTTATACGTAAGTTGCCTTTAAAATGCATTTCTCAATAGACTTGTTATTTTCTGTAAAGTTTATTTGCACTGAGGTAAAGGTAACATTAGCATTTTTTTGTTTAAAATGAGGTCCACCTTATAGCAAAATACACATTTCAAGACAAACTTGCTCACTTAAAGCAAAATTAGTACTATAAAGACTGTACTTGAGTGGTCTCAATGTGTAACAAATGTCTGGACTTCTCACTATAAATGTGTTCCCATTCCACTTTAAACATGGAAATTGTTTCTGGATTTTACAATATCTGCTTATTGTTAAAATGTTTTAGTTTATTTAAGAGAGAGGGGTGGGAAGGGAGGAGAAGTGGTTGAAATATTAAAGTTTTGTACAGAACTACATGAATGCTTTTCAGTGGGGGATACCTTATGGGTTAAGTGTCTGCAGTTCTTCTCTTTGTTCTCATTGAATAAATTGCTCTTGTCTTTATTAAAAGATGGCATTGGAAAGTGACTCGGAGATGCTGGGGTTGGATAGGGATGGCACTGTTTTGAAAAGAAAACTGTCCAACATTTTGACTAAAATTATTTTTAAATAACTTTAATTGCTATTCCGAATTGCTAAGTGGATCTGTCAGTTTGCCTGAATGCAGTAAAATTACCTTAACTTTTCTGCACGTTTCCGTTGTACTGAAATAGCTTTGGAAAGGGCTTAAAATATTGTGAAGAGGCTGGGAAACTTTTGAAACCTTTTGCCTCCTTTTGGTGAGCAGTGCATTTTAAGATCATCTCCTTAGGGGTAAAAAAGAAGTATAGCTATTGCATGCAAAACGTGTCGTCAGGATGAGTACGTTAGTGTGTTGCAATGTCGACCTAAAAGGGTGTTTGAGCTCCAAAGGCTTTTGCCCTCTTTGGTCTCTAGAAGTGAAAACGAAATGTCAGAAAACTTGGCTGCTGCGCCATTCGGCATTTGCCTTTCTCGGCAGCTAGGACAGTTGCGTGCAGGAGTGAGAAGGCTGGCCCAGTCCTACAACCTGGTTTGACTTGCAGGCGCTGTCTTACTTTCCTCCTAGCTCCTTTGGTTTGATTTGGGGCTGTTTTCGTGGGGACGAGCAGGCATTTTAAGCGCATCCCGGTTGCAATTCGGGAGTGGCGAGGAGGGTATGCGGGGTCCTCGGGGAGAGGCCGTCAGTGCGATCAATATTACATTAGTCTAGTGCATTCAGTGGGGGAGGGGGAGGAGGCGTTTTAAAAAAAAAAGCCAAGACGCTTGGATCTGAAAATTCAGTGTAACCTGTTTTTTTAAAGAGTCGCAGTTACCATTCAGCTTTCTGCTGAGTATTAACCCCCCGCGTGATCATGGGCTGATCCCAGTGACTGGCCAACACTTCCCTTCAAACCCAACCCTGGCATTTGCTTGGAAGGCCTGTTTAATTAATGAGCCTCCCTCTGCTTCATACCGTGAACTTCCCTGTATATTTATCTAAATTGCCGCAAAGAAAACATTGTGACAAGTTTGGGAAGCCAGGTCTGCGCTGGAGATAGCATCAGGGCTGATAAGATCAGAGTTGATATGGTTACTCCGGGACTGTTTTTACAAGGAAACAGTAGTCCGACAAGCTGGGATTTAAAACCCGTCCTGTCAGGTGAGCCAGGTCCGGGGCTCTTTGGAGGCTTGCACAGAAATTGCTCCTATCCCAGAAGTGAAATGAGCCGGAGGGGACCTGGACTGTAGGGCTGTCCCCAACGTCCAGCTGGCGGAGAGCTCTTCAGGCAAAGGGAGGATCGGAGATGTTGCAGAGGCAAAATGTGCCCTTCCCTGAGCCTCCCATTGAAGAAGGATGTTCGTGCACTAAAGCTTGCAAAGAACTCCCGTCCCCTCCCTCCCCCCCCAAACTAATAAAAGAGATCACATCTCCACTAAGATCCTTCCCTGCCTTTCCCCGGGATCGCCTTCCCCGTCCCGGCACAGAGACGTGCTGTCGGAGCGGGTCCTCGTTTCGGTGTTACAGATGGGGGATTTCGCCTTAATTTGAGCTCTTTGGTTCAAGAGCCTTCCCAACCCGACGTCTAATGGCGATTTCTTTTCCGGATCCTCTACAAAGAAGCGGAAGTAATTCTTTGGAGCAAGAAGTTCCATGTTACCTCTGCCCCGCAAGGCCGGGGAAACTTCGCTGAAATGCTCCAAACAAGCTTCAGAAGATTTCCAGCCGATCAAGCGCAGAATTAAAGCCCTTGACGGCGGCATCTCCTCTAGTCTAGGGCAGTTGGAGACGCCTGAAGCTCCCTTGGAAAACTGAACACAAGAGCCTAAAATAGGGGCTTTCGTTGGAAAACTTTCATCAACTTCAACAGATTATGAATGGCTGGTTTCTTGAGAGAGAAAACTGCCCTTTCCCCTCCCCCCCGCCAGAGGTTTCACTGCTGTACTTCAAAACCGGAGGGAGGGAAAGAAAGAAAGTTTTCCCTTTGCTTTTTCTAAGAAAGGAAAAGCAAAAATCGAAGCCTTGCACTAACGTCTATTAATAATTCAAAGCAGATCTATATATATATATTATTGTCATTTCAAAGTCAAATGTACAGTTCAAGATCCCTCCCCAATCAAGCCAAGATCGGTGCACTTGAAGAAGGCGAACAGAAGGGGAAAAATAAAAGTAAAAAAACAGATCGCGGTACTTTACCGAGATCTTACCAAATCAAGTGGAAACCAAATAAGACCCGGGCAAATGTCGCCGCAGCATCTTGTCCCGGTGCTGTCAAAAGCCTGGCGCGATGCAAGGCGACGGTACATCTTTTCTTAAAAGACTTGGCCAGGAAGTTTCAAGTCAGGAAAGGAAAAGCAAAGCAAAGCAGCCAAAGCCGGCGTGTGGCAAGCCTTATTTGCAGGAAGGGCATCGTCAGCTTGAACAGAAACCAAATCGGAAGA